GCGAGATGACAATAGAAAAGACAACAAGGCATTGAGGTGAGTCATTTTTATTGCAAAAATACCAAAATTCCAGCTATAATGTCGATTACCGTTTTTCCCCATACAAACCTTTATAAATTCAAACCGTTGTAACACAACACCACCACATACTGCAAGGCGAAGGTCATGTTTCGCGTAACCAGACTCGGTCATTATGTAATAGTAGATGTCAGCGGTAACCGTGTCACGTTTTGCGCGCTGAACGTTCGCATAAAGATTAAAAAAAAAACTCCTCGCATTGTGAGCTTGGGCAGCCTGTGCTCTAAAGTGTGACAAAGAGTTCTACTTGGAACAGACATAGTTCACATATTGTCTTAACTCCCATCATTTGATTGGGTTGGGTAGACGGTTCTTGGTTTAAAACAAAAACTGGGAATTTCAGTTTTTATTCAGACAGCACCAGCGGCAAAACTGTTGTCATGGCAACAGCACCACGGGTGTCATTTTTTTTTCTTTTATGATGTACATTTGTAGTGCCAAGTTTCAAGAACACTGCTTCGATATTTCTAGAGATATTATTTATTCAGTATTGAAGGAAACCTTAAAATAATAGTAGTTCACTAAGATAGAGAAACAGTAAAGAGAGAATTGGCACAAATTACAAACAGCGAACTTGAAAAATATGAACTGCTCATGATGGGCAAACCGTAACACAGCTCCATTAAGTGTACATCTAAGGCATTTGGACACCACTGGCTATAAATGTGCAAGCTTTTCATGTACTTTTAAACATAAGATTGATTTTTAGACTTGCGTTATTTTTGTTGCTATGACCATACAGTATGCGTACAATGTATAATGTGATGATCTATTTTTGATTTCTACAGCAGTCGGATGTCACTCTGCAAATGGTTTTCTTTGATGGCGAGGAAGCATTTGTTAAATGGAGTCAAACAGACTCTCTGTATGGGGCTAGACATCTCGCAGAACAGTGGAGCAACACACATCACCCAAAGGGCTCCAGTACTACAATGATAGACACCATAGTAAGTATCTTGTTTTTTTTTTTTCTTCCTTTGCATCAAATCTATACTACATTCTGAAGCAGCAAAGTATTGGAAAAGTATGGGACTCCAATGCGACTTTTAACAGTCAACTATTAACTTTACTTGATATTTCATTGTATGAGGCCTTCTGATATTATGCGATGGTGTGATTTCGCACAATCTACCTCAAAGTGCTTCTGATCGCACAATTCATGTAAAAAATGAACAATTACAACAAAATAAACCATTAGTTAATGCTTTATCTGGAAAAATGCCACAACTACACTATGAACTTCGATTTCATAAACAAAATTATTGAAGTTCAAGGCTTTTCTTGGACGTCTGGGGACTGGCACTAGTTGTCAATCTCAAAAAATTGCCTGTTGGTGCAATGCAAACAGTCCCTTTCTTCGCTTGGGCCAATCAGAATTGCCAGTATTATTTATCAACAACATACATGTAGTAACAAAGTGTTGTTTATTTTAACGGCAAAGTACATAGCTACTTTGGTGAAATTCAAAATAAACGTCCCTTTTGCATAAGTTTGCAGTGAAAACGCCTGCTGTTTCTTCGACTGGAAAGACTAAATCATAACTTTTGCCAAATTGTAACTGTGAAAGATAGAGCAAGAAAATTACCCTTCCATGTGGATGATAGGCTGAAAATGCAATGTTGTTCGATCAATCATCTCTGGAAGTCTGTGGTGGATAAGCACCTCGAGTCTTTTTTTATCGCAATTTATGTATTAGATGTTTAATTTTTGTTCCTTTGTGTTCAATCTGTCTTTGGAGCAGCCCAAAAATGTTTTACTTCTTATGAAACTTACTTGTACTACTAAGTGAGCACTAGGCAGGATACATGTATTGATGACATCATTTCTCACTTTTTCACTGTACTCTAAGTAGTTCCAAACTGTGAGTTTGTCTAT